AGGGAAGTTTAGCGATAGAGACTTGGTTATATTGCAACAAACAGTTGATGATGCAACTCCTACCATACTTGAAGAAGTCATCGTCGACACATTAGTAGACGGAAATCATCAGGATGAACATATCGATTTTGATATCGAAGATGCTGAACCAGAAGACGAATTTCTTTGTAACTTGTCCTCATCAGAAGATGAAGATGAAGAATTTGAAGATGAATGAAGTTTAAAATAAGTTATTTTTATTTGTTTAATAAATGTTTAAAGATGTGTTTTGTAAGATATTGTAACATGTGTATGATGATTTAAACTAAAAAAAAAATCAAAACATTTTCGATTAAGTAAGATTATATATATAAATGTTTAGACCAAATTCCGATTAAGTATACTGGCAATTTGGTAACATACTTCCCATTGAACTTATACGACAATCGTTCGAATCGACCCAAGTTTTTTTCGGACATTTTAAATTTGGTCGCAAATCAGTCGCAATTTGGCGACCAATTTGCGACAAAAGTATATTGAAACGTTTATTCTCCACCATTTTTCTTTAAGTCGCTAACTAGTCGGTCATTTGCGACTAGCATCTGAAGATTTTGCGACTGTTTTGAGACTAGCACCTGAGATTGCGACCCATCTTCGACTATTTGCCAACTCTCGATTTTTGTTTTCTCACTTTTCACATTTTAAATTTGCTTACATAAAGTTAAACATTTATACACTTATTTGATATTACTCATCAAGAATATCTTAACCAAAGTCATAAATACTGAAGTTTAGAAACAAAATATCAAAAACAAACAAATCTCTTTATGATATTACATTACTCATATGAGTAAGGTTTAGGGATTTAGTAAAAACTCTACATTACTTCAGTTTTGCAAAGTTTTGTAACCTTAAACTAATATATGTCCTCTATAATCCTAATATTAGTGTTATAGAGTGATATATGTCACCATTTTGGATCGAAATGTGTAGATTTCAAAATTTTGCCTTGTGACTAATAGATCACAGTCACACAACCGTCGCAAATTTGCCACCATTTTGGAACGATTTGCAAGTTTGCGACTATTTTGCGACAATGTTTGCAACTATTTTCCGACCATAATTGCGACTATTTTGGTACTGAATGTGAAATTACTTGAGTTTTGCAAAGTTTTGTAACCTTAAACTAATATATGTCCTATATAACCCTAATATGAGTGTTATAGAGTGACATATATAACCATTTTGGATTGAAATGTGTATACCTCCCCTTTTGCGTTGTGACTATAGATTACAGTCACAATCTAGTCGCGAATTTACCACTATGTTGGAACTGTTTACCATTAAGCGACTATATTGTGACCATTTTTGCAACTATTTGCCGACCATTATTGCGACTATTTAGGTACTAAATGTGAAATTTCTAAGATTTTCGCTAAATGTTTTGGCGGTTTAGATTCCCCCCCAATTTTTTTACTTTGGTATCATTTTGCGACTAAAGAGCGACTGGTACTCTTAATTAATTAGGTGAAACTTAAACGAACCCTCATTTCCACCAAAATCCCCAAATAGATTTAGGGTTTCTCTCTCAATCGTCCCCTCTCTCTCTCAATCGATTCTCACACAAATCTCTCTCTGTTTTTCTCGATTCTCTCTCAAATCTCTTCCCATCCTCTCGAATCCTCTCTAAAAGCTCTCGAATCTCAACATCTCAAATCTCAAATCTTCTTATGCCGCCTAAAGGTAAATCCTCTCGAGGCCGCGGAGGTGGCGCTACCACCAGAAGAGTGGCCACCGGAGAAGGCCAAACCAGCAGACAAGAAGCCGCCGGAGGTGGCGCAACCACCAGACGAGTAGCCGCCGGAGGTGGCCAGGCGCTACCACAAGAAGCTGCAGGAGGAGGCGAGACCAGCAGACCAGTAGCCTCTCGACCTGGAGTCCGAACCTTCGTTGGTCACAGACCACCAGTCACTGCGAGTGGAGTCGGAACATCTTCTCACTCGTCGAACCCATCCTCGGCAAGTCAGTCTGCGACCCAATCTCAACTAAGTCGTCCTTCACTTAATTCTAGTAGACAGAATCCTCCTCTCTCTAGGCAGACTCCTCATCTCAATAGACAGACTCCTCCTCCTCAGCCGTAGCATCAACCACCGTCTCCTCAAACCCAGCCTCTACCGGAACATGATGCGAATCACCAAGTGCTACCTGAAAACGAAGACCTTGTAGAGGAAGAGATCGATGATGTAGGACAAGAAGATGACGAAGAAAACCCTAATCCTGGGGAAGACTACCAAAATATGCTGGATCGTTTGCTAGCTCTTCCAGGCCGACAACATCTTCCTCGATTGTCTGTACACCCAATCCGAGGCGTTGAAACACTCTGGTATTAACACTTTTGTCCCTCTGTTTGTTTTGTTTGATGTGTGATGTTTGGTATTGCTAAAAGTTTTGGTCTGACATTTATCATTTGACTAGGGTTTGATCTATCATTTGCTAAAAGTTTCAAAAAGATACATGTTATTGCTTTGGTCGGACATTTGCATATTATTGGTTTGACATTTGCATATATTAGCTTGCATATCATTGTTTGTTGTTGTAATCGTTGAGTCTCAGAAGTGTTGTCAAATACAGTATGAGACTTGGTCTCAGGAGTGTTGTTTCATATATTAGCTGTCAAATACAGTATGTATATGCAATATATAACAGCTGTAGGTTTTTGATTCAATGAGTTGTTGTTTTTGTACCATTTTGACAGAGTTTTAGCTAATTACAACAGTCGAATTGTTTTTGCATTGGTCTTCAGTCTTTGAAACTGAACTAAGTTCATTCATGCTCATTCTCTGTTTGGTGTTTGCTCTTTGAATCTTTGCTATATCTTCATTTCATTCATGCTCATTCTCTGTTTGTTGTTTGCTCTATATAAAATCTGCTTTATATAGACTAATAGCCTCTTGTTGTAACAGGTTTAACCGGCAAAAGGGGGTGCTGTCTCGAGCAATTTCTAGAATATTTAGGAGGAAGTTTGATGGGCCTTACTACAGCTGGAAGGTTACTCCAATCAACATACAAGAGAGATATTTCAGAACTTTTGCGGTAATGACATATATATATATATATATATATATATATATATATATATATATAGCTTTCATTCTCTCTTATTGTAGTATATATAGTATGTTACTAACTTACTGTTTTGTGTTATGTAGCGGGAGTTTAATTGGGATACTGGGGTTACTGCCCTTGTTAAACAAGGATTCTTGGTTATAGTGCAGAAACGGATGAAAGGCATTGTCAGTCAAGTGAGGTCGAAAGGTGTACAACCAACTTGGATTAGATTTACACTTTGGACTGAGATGCAGAACTTTTGGAAGACCGCTGATGCTATAGAGAGGAGTGAGAATGCTTCACAATGCAGAAATTCTGATCGTGGCGGACTTGGAGTGCACAAATACTTAGCCGGTCAGAAATCATTTATTCAAGTTCATCAAGAGATAGTAAGTTGTTTCAATCGCTCCAAATACTTTACTTTTACATAATTTCTATAATTTCTACACATGATATTCTTTTTGTCTTTCATTTCAGGAGGAAGAGTTGGGGCGTCCAGTTTCATTAGGTGAAGTGTTTATGAGAACGCATACTAGAGCTGATGGCTCTTTTGTTGATCAAAAGTCTGAACAAGTGGCTGAGGCATATAAGAAGACAGTTGAAGAGAGATTGGCTGAACTGGAAGAGGATGTTCAGGATGCTTCAGAGATTTCCTCTGAACATTCAATTCATCCTAGAGAACTCAGCATTGATGAGATGAATGATATCTTCCTTAAGGTAAGTAATTTCTGTCTTTAGTTTGCTTGGATTATATGATTGTATTTGTTTACTTGGAGTATGATAGTCTTGTCTGCTGAGCATTGTTACTTTAATATCAATGATGATTCTTATTTTTCTTTGTCTGATTTGCATTGTGGATTGTCTTTGTCAGACTTCTTTGCTACATTCTGGATTTCGTTTGTTTTTTTTTTCATTTTGTCTATGATCCTTGTCTGATTTCACTGAATGTTTGTTTTTTTTTGCAGTGTACTCATATAGATGATCAAGGCAACGCTTATGGCCTTGGATCACTGGTGGAGACTCTACACAAGGGAAAAAGGAAGGAGAGTTACGCAAGCTCTTCTTCTACAGTGACAGTTGTTGAGCTTCAAGAGCAGTTGCGGCGCAAGATCTCTAATCAGGATGCTGAGAATGCAAGACGTGATGAGGAGCACCGGAAGTCTCAAGCTCGGATCGCAAGCTTGGAGAAGCTCATCCTTTTCATGAAAGACAAAGATCCAGACTTGGCAGCTTTTATGTCAACCTCTCCACTCCTTGAACCAGAAGTGATCATACCACCCACCACTACAACAACCACCCTTCCAGCCACCACAGGAGCTGCAGTCCAACCAGCAGGACACACCACTGGAACCACACCAACCTCTCCTCTATCCACCGCCTCAAATCAGGAAACTTGATTTTAGTTTCCTTTTCTCTGTGTATGTGAACTTATCTATGTTATGCTTTGATTAGGATTGTTTTTGAATGGCTTGGAATTGTTTTTGAATGGTTAGGATTAATATTCGGATGGTTTTTGAATGCATTTGCTTTTGAAATGGAGAGGGTTCGGACAAATAAGATGTAACTATTTTGTGACCAAAAAGTTTCAGAATTTCGGACTAATTTGTGACTAGAACAATTAACAAATGTGACCAAACTGTGACTAAACAAATTTACAAATAACTCCAAATCTCGTATCAAAATGGTTACTAATTTAGGACTAATTTGTCACCATAATTAATAAGTCCTAAAGTAGTTGCACCATATGCAACTCTTTTGCGACTACACTGTTACTAAAACATACACAGCTTGCGACTAAAGTGCGACTAAGTATTTGACCCAAGAACTGTAAACGGTCGCAAACAAGGCGCAAATTGATCCAAATATGTAAGATTATTACAGTAGTAAATGAGTCACTAACTTCCGTTCGTTGCTCTTTGGTCACACATTTGCAACGATATTCACCAGTCACATCTTAGTCGGTAATTTGCGACTCTAAATTTATAGTCGCCAAATAGTCGCAAATTAGCGACTATAGTGATACACAGAAATTTTGCGACCGTTTTTTTGCGACCAATGGAAATAGTCGTTATTCAGTTGCAAAACCCTCTTTTGCGACCGTTTAGCGACTAATTTCACAGTCGCAGATGAAGTGTTTTCTTGTAGTGTGTGCTGCTCACCATCACCAACTAAGATATCTACTGGAGATTGAGGTAGAACCTCTGACGATTTGAAATAGTTGTTGGAATGAGGCTGTAAACAAATACATGAATAATCTGATATAGATATAATAGAGTAAGTAACAAACATATAGGCTGACACATTCATACCTCCGTATGAGAATCGGGCCTTCTTTGTTCGAAGTTGGAAGGATTTGACACACCATCATTGTTGTTTGCCATAGGAGAATCATTATCTGATGGGGGTACAACATAGGTAGAATTGCCATTCCTAACGCAGTCTTCCTGGCAGTTAGACCAATAAATAGATTAAAATTAAAGTTATATAAATATCTATGAGACTGGGAAGCTATAAACCTCCATAAGAAAGCCTTCATGTATGTATTCATTATTTGATAGTTGAGGATCTGATTCAAAATCATTGCTGTAACGGTCATTCTGAAAAAATCCAAATTGTTTACTGTAAGGTGAGTGAGACAGAGTTTGACTCAGGAAGGGATAGAGAAATACCTGATTTCCCAAATCATCTGGAGGGGTGAGGGATTGAACATGTACTTTCAATGGATGCTTGCGCTTGGTTCTAGATGCATATCTAGAAGATAGTTTCCTTGTGCGGTTGAATATGATTGCCTTATTCCTTTTTTCAAGCTTTAAAACACGGTTTGATAGCTCTCCCACTTTTTTTTCGAGTTCCAACAATAATGATGACTTATCATCATCACACAGCTGTAGAGATGACCGGCTACGGGTAGAATAGCGATGCTTTGCCTTTGGAGGCTGAGACTTCACTCGTAGTCGCTTATGAGTCTTTTTCTCCCCTGGTTCCTTTTTACGCTCCACAATGTGCCTTTTATGAACAACTGCGACCTTCTCTTTTGGGATAGAAATGAATGGTAATGAGTCATCACCTCCTGGCCAATCAGATTTTAGGAATTTATTTGATCTGAGAATCAGTTCATACATATAAGCTACTTTCTTGTCTTTCACCTCATCATCCCAGTCCCCCCAACTTTTTTCAACATTTACGCCAAGATTCATAAAAGGATCCACTCTATCCTGACCAAACAGAACGGTAAAATGAGTAACTAAGAAATTATGCAAAGATATAGATACCAATGTTGAAAAATTATACCTTCAGGTGGTGCTCCAGGGCGTGAATTTGAGAAAGGGAAATCAATTGTTTTGGCAGAGAGATTTTCTTCCAATGTTTGATGGTCATTGAGGTGGAATCATCAGTGACCAAATCAACCATGCCCGGAATGTTACGAAAAGCTAAGAGTTACAGGGCAAGCGGAAAACCTTTCAGACGGAATGTGATCTGCTGAAGTTGTTTGGCGAAATTCTTGACAGGATCTGTTGAGACAAATCTTTTCCCGGTGCCTCCTGGTAGAATACGTTTCCTGGGTCTCATGGATGCAATTGTCTTAATAAATGACTCTCTACCCCAAGGGATTGCAAGGAACTTGTCAATATCTTCCAACATCTCTACATATTTAAATGTAGGCCTCCCAGTTTGGTTTGAAAAAATGAGGACACCATCAACAATGAGGAGATACGCAAGCTTAAGTCTGTGTTCAGGAGAGTATTTTTTTTTGGGTTTGACGAGCATGTCAGATACATCTCCTAAGGTTGCGTCCTTGTCTTTCCCTAATAACTTGTTCCAGTAACAATCCTTCCCTTCAACATAACTTGGCTCAAATTCTGGATCGTAATCATCGAGAAATTCACCGCAAGGCAAACCAGATACACCACCAAATTCAATTAGGGAAAATCTCAGAGGTTGTCCACCGAAGACAGTCCATAATTCATACTTTTGCTTCGTAATCAACTGCCTACATAGCAAAGAATGTATCAACTTGCAAGAACTAGGGCTTCTACTTATCGGCAAGTCGAACAGGGGACCAAAGCAAGATTGCAGGATGGTGTTCCATTCCTCTGTTCCATGAAAAATTGACCTGATAACGAAAGAATGTCTGGTTTACAGTTTACATTAAGCCTTGCTTTCGGATATCTGTCAGTTGCAAACAGTCGATTGGGAAGATTTAAATCCCATTCAGAAGTTGGTTGCTCTGAAGTCGAGGCTGCAAGTAGTTGTAGAGGTGTTAAGAGTTAAATTGAGTCAAGAGAACGGGAGAATTGGGTTAAATCAATACCTTCCATAAATTAGATGGTTGATAGAAATGAAAAGGCGATGTGGACAGAGTAGGCGTATCTTGTCGGGAGGTGTGGGCGGAGATGGCCGGAAAGTATGACGCCGCAGTTGACCTGTTATCGCCGGAGAGAGATGTCGATGTAAAAATATTTTAGGTTTTTTACAGTAGCAGGGTTACAGTAAAGCAGTGTGTAGAAGAAGTTGATTTCAAAAATTAGAAACGGTTGAGTGACAATTAATGCAAACCGGCAGCAGAACCGGATCTGAGGGCAAAATGGAGAAATAACACTTTGTAAGTGCTCTCAACTTTCAAAGTGCCTCATTGTGGAAATAAGTTGAATAAAGTGCCCTATTGTAGTATTAACTCAATTAAAAATGGTGTAGAGATGGGTTTGGGTCTCGGGTAGTTCAAGTTTTGATAATATAAAAAATAACGTACTTTTTGAAGTATAAAATACTAACAAATAATTTTGTTTAAGTACCCAATAATAAGATATAACATTTGACGGAGCAAAACCGAAGGATGATCAATAAAATGTTAAATATGGAGTAAGAGAATTTCAAAAATACTTTTTTTTCATTACCACTTTTTTAAAAACTCCGTACTTAAAACTTTATCAAAAATCTTCTAAAAAATGAGATCTACCTAAATACATGTGTAATAATTACCTTATAAAAACTTATATAAACTACATTTATATTTGTGTAAAACTTTATAAATATCTTGTAAAACCTTAGAAAATACCATATAAGACTTTGTAAATATTTGGATTGAGTCTCTGAGTAGTATTTACAATTCAGAAATGTCTTGTAAATTAACCTTATTGACCTTTATAATCTTTTCATATATAAAGAAATTCATTTTTGAAATAGACAACTCAAGGGGCATTTCAAAAAGAACAACACCAAAAAGTGCATTTCTCAACAATTATCTTGTTTATTTCTCCGGTTTAAAGTAAAAAATGGAAGGGAATTGGAAAAGATTTTACACACGAAGGTTTCATGTATTATTATAGATCCTACGTTGAGTTAGATGGTCTTACTTTTGAGTTTTCATGTATTTTGTCGACACGAACATTTCCATTTCCTTCCACATATTACTGAACATCTTAGACATAAAGATGGTAACATTACAACAACACAACAATAATGCCAAAGACACACGAACCAAAGTGTCTTCGGTTTTAGTGGTAAACACAATAAAGCATAAAGACAACATCATCTAAACATATGTTTAGCTTATAGAAATCTGATGCCTGAGAATCCCTCTACGCTGAAGCGTCTATGGTACGGTCCCTAATCACCTTCACGAATTTATCCATATACGCTATCCTATAAAATAGCCGTTTCAATTAATATACATAAAACAATTTTGTCGCATCTTTGCTTGGATATACAATTGCAGATCTAGTACCTTGCAGGAAGATGGTCGTGTGGGCGATTGTAAGCAGTCCACACTGGTCCACCCACGAAAAGCCGCATTGCCTATTCAATAAGAAAGTCCATTTTTATAAGCAACCAATAAATATATGATGAATTAATAACTAGAAGAAGCTCAGATTGAACCTTCATATAATTGTCTGAGTCCACGGTGAAGCGATGATATATTCCAGCAGGGAAGACTATCAAACCTCCCTTCTTTACCCATACTCTAATCCAAACATCATTGAGATCCCTCACATCAAAGTATCCTTCAATTTTTTCCAAGAAAAAAACAACATGAGGACTATATCGAATTTATTCAAGTAAAACAGCAAATAAAAGTGCCGACCACTTCCTGCGAGGCAGTAACGAATCTCTTCATCAATGTGTAAATGTTCTACAAAAAACATCTTTACTGTTGCTTCATAGTTTGGAAGCTTTTTTGGACACACCTCACAAATGTCCTGAAACCAAACATAAATGTTTGAGAATCAAATGTAAACATCTAATAATCAAGTGACAAGCGAAGATCTGTCTTTATTAAAAAAAAAAAAAAAACAAAGGATGAAAGGAAGATATAAAAAAGCCATCAAATAAAGGTAACAAACCATGTAGGAGTAACCACGAGATTCGCGGATCTTTTTCAACTCCTCATCGGTTTCATAGTTATCAGCGTCAAGTCTCCAGCTAAGTACTCCAAGCTCTGAACAAAAAAAATAACATTAATTATTACCGTACGTGAAAAAAAGACATGCAACAATGACACACACAGACCTGCAAGTTTGTCCAAAGATACAAACTCCTTAGGATCCTTGTGGTGAGGAAGTTTCTGATCCTCTTCATTGTCATCCAAATACCAAGCTTGAATCGCTTCTTCTCTTTGATCCTAAAAAGACACACACACACACACACACAATATGTGAAACTAGAAAACATCAAATCTGATGCTAAGCAAAAACACATCAAAATGGGAAATAGACGAAATCAGAAGGAAGAGTGTCTATTACCCTCACGGCTTCAACCATGGTTATTCCTCTCTTTTTTTTTTTGAACTTTGTCTTCCAAAAAGAAGAAAGAATGGTATCGTTTATATAGATAAATAATGGAAACCACTGGCCTTTTTCTGTGTGCAAAAAGTTTGTAGAAACACAAAACTACTCTTCCATTCCCAGACACTTTTATCGAGAAGACAAGGACGTCACGAAGTGTCAAGGAGCTGACGAAGAAGAGATGGCGTCACCAAGTCTCGCGACTTGTATTTACTCTATTTGCATTTGTTAAACACGATGCATACTCATTATTTAATAAGAGGGGTGTTTAATACTACTCCATCTATTTTTAAAATAATATTTGGACCATGTGCTCTTGCACTCCTGGCACATGCATGTGCCACCGCCGGGCAATATGAATAATTCATGGCACCTAAAGTTAGGAACACTTGAAGTTTTCTAAGAATTTTAATTGGAAGTAATTAGGACTCCCATATTTTTATGTTTGAAGTGAAACTGTGAAAAGAAGGGAAAGTCAAAAAGAGTGAAATACTTTCTAAAGCTTTGATATGTTATGGTAAATTTGAAAAGTTACCAATGGTCAAAGAGAGCATTGGAAGAGTTCATAATCAACTGAATCCAACGAGTTGACGTAAGACTTGCCAAAGTAGAAAAAAAACTGAGTTTTCTTGTTTGTCTTTTATAATGAGAGCCGTAGAAGCCAATCAGGCTGATTGAATCAGCATAACATATTAATTACCACATAAACTCGAAAGAAAATAAAGGGTAATGATGATTCCAAGCCAATCTTATTGGTTTTTTTTTTTTTTTTTTTTTCTGGTGGTTGTTACTTTAGATATCTACACACTTTAGCTTCTCCTACCCTTCAATATTGCCGCCATGACCAGAGAGATGCCATTTTGGTGTTCAAACATGAGTTTCCGGTAATTGATACATGGTTAAGCTCAAGGAACAAGAGTGGTGGCTGCTGTTCTTGGGAGGGTGTCACCTGCGATGCTATATATATATGGCGGGGTAATTTATCTTCTCCTTAATTCCATTTCTCTTAACAACTCTCTAGAACCAAAGAGCGGTCTTTACAAACTCCAACATCTTTTTAACCTAACCCTTAGAAATTGCAGCCTCTATGGAGTGATTCTTTTTACTTTAGGAAACCTTTCTCGGCTCACACTTCTTCCCCTTTCGTATAATAATTTTCTAGTCAATTTTCAGCTTCAATCGCACAACTTTTTTTTTTTGTTCAAAATTAGATCTTAGGTTTGTATGTTTCTCTCTTTTGTTCAACCATAAAACGACTTTTCTCTCTTAAACATTCATACTTGCATAACCATTACACTTTTACACATTACATACTTAGAGAGATTTCTTCTACTAGCTACTCACTTAACCTTACTCTCTCATCTGACCTCTACATACTAGGTTCACTTACACAAGCAACCACTCAAACGACTATAACAACTCTTGAAGTGCTATAGTCTAACTAAGGTTCACAACAACTTCCTTAGTCAAACTACGTAAATAACATAACCACATATTTGGGACTAACACCACTTAGACCCAACTCCCAAGGAACACAGAAACATAACTCTTAAGTGGGCTTTAACTCCACCCCATTACTCTTCTTTCTTTGTAACTAGTCCACGACAAAACACAACACGTCTTAACTTTCTTCTTCTCTTTGACGACTCGTCTCTTCTTCTTCTTTAAGCACACACCTTTGATTCCTCTGTAGTTTCTTTGTTCTTCTTCTTCGTGTCACTCATAGTAGTTTTCTCTTTTGAAGGGACAACCAAAGGATTCAATCTCAACAACTTTCTCGTCTTACACTTCTTAATCGAATTTCAAATTTGATTCAATGCATGAAAGGCTCTAAATCAATCTAGACTTCTAACCAAAATGAGCAACGCGTGCGATCTCCAATCCAGCATGAGTTTATTCTCTTTCCATTATGTTTTGGTTCATCTTCCCCACACCCACAACCTCTTTCATAACAATGATATCGTAACATTTCATTTAAAAAAATCTAGAATGACATAAACAAAGAGAATCATGACAGATTGAAAATATGCAAAAACAACTTGATTTTTATTTAAACTATTCTTGAATTTGTGTATTTCAATGCGGTCGTTTGACAAACCCCTTAGATGCACGATACACAAGAATTTAAGAGACAGTAAATAAAGAAAGAAAGAAGGAGAACTTTTAGGATATCAATTAGTGATGGAAGGATCAAGGACTTGACCAAGGAACACAACAAGTCCGCTCATGTTTTCTTTGACTAGGAAGAGAAACGGATGATCAGCCACAAAATCATGCTTACTTTTAGCGGGTCCACATCCCCCGACTCCTCCAACAACAGTTGCTTCTACTGCTGTTGTTCCCTCTTCGTCCACCTCTACGCGAGACTTATGGAAAACCTTATGCGCTGTCAACTCCAAACCCAAGCCTTTGAGAGCTTCCGTGACTTCAAAATCAGTAGAGAAACTAAACTTTGGAACCTTGAGTTTACCAATACTCGACCAGTCGCCTGACGTATCGCCACTTAAGATTCCAGGATCAGAATCTAAACTCTCTAACATAGCAGCCAATCCATCTTTTTCATCAGGAAGATAGATTTCCATGGAGAAATACCTATGATCATCGCGATCTGTTCCTGATTGGTAATGGAGCTTAAGATGTTTAAAGCCATCAAAAACATAAATCCTCCACATCCATAAGTCCTCTTCATTGGTCATGAATGAAACACGAACCATGGATCCATCATGACGGTGAAAGTAGTCTTCTTTGGTTAGCGATGCATCGAATTTGTCTTGCCATCTTCCATTGAAGTATAACGCATTTGCAAATATGACATCAGTCAAAGAAGGAACATGAGTTGGTGAAAGAATCTTAGTAATGAGACCATTTGTCTGCTTTTCAACACATGAATTCACCTCCTCGCTCACCTGAGAAGCCTTAAACAAACCAAAAAAATAACAAGTAGAGAAGGGTTGTTATTTCTCTAATGCATTTTTCTTAACAAATAATCTCTAATTCATCTATGTTGTTGTAGCCATTCTCATTGCTGGATAACATAACCTCTTATCGCATAGGTAAGAGAATACCATTTTAATGTTATACCCGGTGTATTTTAACTATTCTAGTATATCGCTCTCTCTCCCCACTAAAATCCACAAAAAATTGTTTTATTTCTTTGTCATCAATCAGCCAAACCATGTAACCGAACCTTTATCTAAAGAACACTTTTGTAATTAATAAAACCTTTTGAAAAACCTAAACAAGTACCTTGGTGCGAAAGTCTACTGAATTAAAAGCAACGCTATAGAAATTCTTCAGAAGTTCCTTGAAAGAAGGCTCGACCGAGAGAGATTTTTCGAGCCAGACGCCATTAGCGGCCGAGATCACCAGGCCTCCTTTCTCACTACCGTCGACGAGGATGACGGATAATATTTGCGATGCGACCCCATTAAGTTCGTCTGTGGAAGAAGCATGAAGAAGATCGAGAATCTGGTCCTTGATGGTGTCAAAAGAGTTAGCGGCGATGAAGCTAAGGGAAACGTTGATTGACGCAGGGGAGAAGACGACGTTAGAGTCTTCTCCGGCGGTGGCGATCACGTGCTTAGCGAGAGCAAAGACGCCGTCATTTTGATTCTCTATTGATTCTTTGAAGTTCCCTTTTTTTCCCGTCTGATGGAAAGATGTGGATGCACGGTTACAAGGTAAGAGTGTTGAATCATTTTGTAGTATGATTCTGAATCATGTTGAAATATCGACCCAAACCCGTCCCACCATATAACGCTGTTTTGTATTCAGAATCATTTTGGTCCTTTTTATAGTATGATTTTGAATCATTGCGAGGATGACGGATAAAATTTGCGATGCGACCCCATTAAGTTCATCTGTGGAAGAAGCATGAAGAAGATCGAGAATCTGGTCCTTGATGGTGTCAAAAGAGTTAGCGGCGATGAAGCTAAGGGAAACGTTGATTGACGCAGGGGAGAAGACGACGTTAGAGTCTTCTCCGGCGGTGGCGATCACGTGCTTAGCGAGAGCAAAGACGCCGTCATTTTGATTCTCTATTGATTCCTTGAAGTTCCTTTTTTTTCCCGTCTGATGGAAAGATGTGGATGCACGGTTACAAGGTAAGAGTGTTGAATCATTTTGTAGTATGATTCTGAATCATGTTGAAATATCGACCCAAACCCGTCCCACCATATAACGCTGTTTTGTATTCAGAATCATTTTGGTCCTTTTTATAGTATGATTTTGAATCATTGCGAGGATGACGGATAAAATTTGCGATGCGACCCCATTAAGTTCGTCTGTGGAAGAAGCATGAAGAAAATCGAGAATCTGGTCCTTGATGGTGTCAAAAGAGTTAGCGGCGATGAAGCTAAGGGAAACGTTGATTGACGCAGGGGAGAAGACGACGTTAGAGTCTTTTCCGGCGGTGGCGATCACGTGCTTAGCGAGTGCAAAGACGCCGTCATTTTGATTCTCTATTGATTCCTTGAAGTTCATTTTTTTTTCCGTCTGATGGAAAGATGTGGATGCACAGTTACAAGGTAAGAGTGTTGAATCATTTTGTAGTATGATTCTGAATCATGTTGAAATATCGACCCAAACCCGTCCCACCATATAACCCCGTTTTGTATTCATAATCATTTTGGTCCTTTTTATAATATGATTCTGAATCATTGCCCAATTTTTTAAGCAATGTGGGACATTGTACACACACTTTTTCTTCATCGATTGAGTAATATATGTCCGTTTTAAAAAATTTGAATCACATAATATGCAGAAAAATCTATTATTTTATTAATTATATGTATTTTATATAAATTCAATATAAATAACACCTATATTAATCAAAAATTGAATATTAATAATCATTAAAAAAGATCAATCTTAACAATTCATATATACAACAATAAACAGTAAGATAATTTAAATATGGACTACTATTATCCTATATGACTACTTATGATTACAAAAATTTCAATCAATATCAATCAAAATATCATATATACAAAAATCAGAAAGTAGGATGGTTTAAATACGGACTACTATTGTCCTATGTGACTAATTATAATAATCATGCTTATATTGGATACGTACATATAGACATATATATTGAACCATGTATGAGAGTCTGTATTTATAAATAATTATAATGAACATATATATTATTGCATCATCTCAAAAGTGTTAGGTTTTTTATTTGTTTTTGTCATCCACTTTTAATTAAAATTCAAAAGAACTCATTCCTGAAAAATATTGTTTACATATGTGATATGATGCACTTCGGTACGAACTTTTCGTGCTAAATTACCCACTTTAACATTTAAACGTGTTAGGTTTATGAAGTAACTTTGAAATAACATGCCTAGCATAACCTAAAATTCATTATATTGTTATTGAAATTTTATGGATTTTAGGTTATGAATTTCAATAATAATATAATGAATTTTCTATATAGATATACATTCAAAATTCAAAAAAAAAATATTAAAAATAGATAAATGCAAAATTGGATTATCTTCTCATATTTAGAAAATAGATATATTCAAAATTAAGAGTTTAATAATATTTCTGTATAAATATATTTATTTTTCAGTATTCCCCCATTTATGGAATATAACAAACCGACTAACTCTAAAATCTAATATTTAAATGGCCTAATTGAAAAATAATAAATCTTTATGTTGTTAAATTTTTAAATTTTCTTAAAAACAATATTCCAATTGTTTCAACAATATGATCATCCTAGTAGTATTTAAATATTACTAGATGAATACCCACGCTAAGCGTAGATTTATTTTGAAAATTGTTAAGAAACAAATCTGTTGATTATTCTTGTTTCTAATTTATGTTTACTTTTTGATTTGTTATTGTGTATTTAATAAAATTAAATCCATCTTATGTAGTTAGAAGTTTTATGATTAAACTAGTATTTTGCCCCCTGGGGCATAAAATATTTTTAATAAAATGTTCATAAAATTCTATTCCCATATATATACATACTCATCAAAAGGAATACAAAAGATTGTTTTTGAATTAGAAAAATGACGAAAAGAGAGACAAATGACAATATTATTTTTTGATGAAAAGAGAGACAAATGGTAATATTATTTTTTGATGAAAAGAGAGACAAACGGATGCAAAGTTGAGTGTTCAGATAATCGGCTACATACATGAAACATGAAAACTGATCATTCACTATCACGTTCCTCTCTGTTTTCTCTTTTACCCTTTCTTTTCCCCTCATCCATAATTGTACCTACAATCAAATTAACAACGTGTAATCACAAATTAAGTAACTGCTAGATCTATAAAAAAAGTCATGGTGGTTTGAAGAAGGTGAGTGGATGACATGAATTACCTTTAGAGTGGAGAAAGGAAATGGCCAAATTGGTGGAAGGTTAAATTGAACAAACGATGAAGATGAAACAATGAATTGTTGACGGATGTGCTCGATGGTAGAGCAAGAACAACAGTTCCGATATTTGATTGAAAATTGGCTTGTTCGTTAAAGTAATGTCAATGGTGGTTTGACGAACGTTAGTGGAGGAACCATTGTCTTATATATATGTGATGATTTGTGGAAGATCAGTTGATAAAAGTAATCGGAGTGGGAAGTTATTTGGAGGATCATAGAAATCAAAGAACACATATCGTGGGGGGGGTTTTTACTAAAATTTTTTTTTATCTTTTTTATTAAAGAAAGAAAACTATCAATTAAAAAGAATTGTAAGTGACGAAAAAAAGAAAGAATTGTAATTAAAAATTATGGATGACACATGTCGCAACCACAATTGTCGACTGACTTCTGTTTTATATAATATAAAAGATATGGATGACACATGTCGCAACCACAATTGTCGACTGACTTCTGTTTTATATAATAAAAGATAAAAGATATGGATGACACATGTCGCAACCACAATTGTCGACTGACTTCTGTTTTATATAATAAAAAATTCATTTTTGACTTGAAATATCAATTTATCATTTTCATGTATAAATATGATTATTTATATTTCTAAGATCCTAATATTTTTTCATCATCATGAATACATACAACAACATAGGATATTTTATAGAATTATATGTAATTATGTTATCTGTATGGTTTGATACTCGACTAACTTGATTATAAATACAATTTCTTGCTTTGTGTAGGTGTTGCATGTTATCTTGTGTAGGTGTTGCATGTCATTTATCTTCAACACATACAATTATTTGGTATGTCTAAAGGCTCATCACTTGAAAAAACTTGCATGTCAATGTTACCAACTTACCATAAGACACAAAAATAAAAAGAGAGAAAGTCATATGATAAGTCAAATATGAACAACAAAACGTAAAATAAGTGTTTAAGTAGCAAACAACTAAATTACAACAAAAATAAAGTTTTAGTCATTATTGAGTGGTGATAAGTTAGTAAAATAAGAAGAGTATACTAAAAGTACTGCTTTTTATTAACATAATTTTGTATTTTTTTTTTTAATTTTGAATAAATCACTTAAGAGTAGAATTGATGGAAGATTTAATGTAATAAAGAACTTTTATTTCTATCATTTAATTTGGTTAATTTTTTATTTAAATAATTTAAAATGACACATGTTATTTTTTTTTGTGATGGTGTGGCACTTATATGGAAAGAGTTAACAAACTTTCATATATATGATTTATTTCTTCTTAATAACCAATCTTTATGAGAGGTTATGTGATGCTTAGGTAGTTCTTTCATGCTTTAGGCATCAAAATATTACTGCTGTTACACATTAACCTTCACATTTTAACTTTTTTTTTCTTTGCATAAATCTCTGCCCCAAAAACTTCTCTCATTAGCTTGATATGAACAACACTCGAACTTCTAAACTTTAGCAACTCCTGGATCTGAGCGACCATTGATCCCTCAATATCATCAATGTTTTCATCAAGGGACCGTGACTATCCCATTTTAAATGTACATACAATCAGTGGCGGATCTAGAATCAATTTCTAATGGGGTCAATATATTATACAAAGAGAAAATGATGGATTTAAATATATTTTAATGGGGTCAATATAAAGAATTTTAAAAATATTCTCTAATTACCTCTTAATTTTTAATAGCAAATATGTTCAAATTCAAAAGTTGTTGGGGTCAAGTGACACCACTACCACCAACGTAGCTCCGCCACTGCATACAATAGGATAATAATCTTGACATATATATTTCTAATAATTTATTCACATTGAAGCCGAGGTTCCAATTTAATAATCTTTTTTAAAATATGATCACCAAGATTCAAGATAAGTAAAAAGGTATTGGATTTGATTGGTAACAAGCTGTTAGCTGTTAGCTGGAGCTGTTAGCTGTTAGGAAATAGTGTAAAGCTGTACAAAAGAATAAAACACGAAAGCTGTACAAAAAAATAATGTAGAACCAATTTTAAAAATTTACTCTGATCGGAAACATCATAGTGGTACACATAATAAATAAAATTAAGAATTTAGAAAGAAAAAAAATTACATAGAAATGTACTTTAGTATATAATTACATATGAAAATTAAGATTATATAGAATGAACAATATTTTATTGTTAGAATAATAATATGAATTTACTAGTCCTATAATAAATAAAAATTTTCTTCATTTTGAGCAATATAACCTTCCAAAATAATTGTTTGAGAAAAAAACCATTATTTCTAATGAGGTTTTTTCATAGGCTGTATTATTTACTTTTTCGGAAATCTTTATCTGAACATTCGAGACTTTGTTTTTTGCATTATACATAGTTACAATTATATTTTATAAAGTTTAATTATGCGGTTAATAATACGGTTAACCGTGCGGCTAATCGTACGGTTAAATAACGGTTTTGATACGTTTCCGGTATATTAATGGTTACGGTTAGTATATTTTTTTTAACCGTAACTAATCTAGTTTTACGGTGAATGGTTATGGTTTTTAACCGTTATACAGTTACAGTTGAAAAACGGTCCAGTTACGATCCAAAATACGGTTACGGTTAGCTTATGGTCATGCTTACTAGGCATGACCAAAAGCTAACCGTAACCATATGTTGTACCGTAACCGGACCGTTTCTCAACCGTAACCGTATAAAACGGTTAAAAACGTAACCGTTAACCGTAAAAAATAATTAGTTACAGTTAAAAAAATATATTAACCATAACCGTTAATTAACGGTAAACATATGAAAACCGTTATTTAAAACTTTAAAAATGTAATTGTAACTCCATATAATGCAAAAACAATTCTCGAATGTTCAGATTAAGATTTTCAAAAAAGTAAATGATACCGCATATGAAAAAATCTACGTTATAAAAAATGGTCTTTTTCTCAAACAAATATGTTATACTGTTATTTTGCTCGAAATGAAGAAAATTTGGTTTGTAACATACTTTTTGATTTTATGAAAGGTATTATAATAAGTTAGGTAACACGTAAGATTTCGCCTTCGCTATTAACCGTATTGTAGTCATCAAATAACTATAACCGTAATTATCCGTAACCGTTGTAACCGTAACCGTAACCATATTTAACCGTAACCGTTATAACTGTATTTAACTGTAACCGTTATAAATGTATTTAATCGTAACTGTATTTAACCATAACCGTATTTAACCATAACCGTATTTAACCGTAACCGTTTTAATTTGTTTTTGTTTGTCCAAAACAAACTGTTTATGTTATAGTGTACCGTTTTTCATAAAACTTTTGTGATTAGTAACTGTCAAAGCTGTACAAAGCTGTACAGCTTTATTTTTGTTCACCAATCAAAGCCATTGTTTCCAAAAATTAAAAATATTAAAAAATCAGTTTTTTAATTTTGTCCGATTCCCCAAATTTCAGCGGATTGATATTAACCTTCTTACTTTCTTCATCCGATTTCAAGTTTCCTCAGTAGTCTAATTTTCTTCGTTCATTGTAGCTGGAGGAGCCTGAAGCAATGACATGTATCAAGATATTTTTCACTGCTAGGATTACAAATTAAGCAAGCATTTTCGCCTTTCACAAGGAGAAATGAAATCCACTTTCCCTATGAATATATCCACCTCAATTCGAATAATTACACCGCACCTATAACTTGGCGCTTTAATACCACTTGTTGCGAAAATCATCAATGAAGATCAAATTGATGGCAAACACTTGTAATATGCAAACAAACAAGTCATGATTAAGAGTAGAGCTGGAGGTGAGCGTGGAGTGCCTTGGAGGGGTTTTAATTTTTAATACAGTTTCTGTTAAAGATTTATTTCAGTTTAAGAATGATTTAAAATTGTGTCCTGCTTTTTATGTTAGGTTTCCTAGATATATTTGAAACTTGAAAGTTATTCTTTTCCGAGATTTTCATAAAGACCATTTATTAACAAGGCTTTAGGATTTCGAGTTCCGTTTAACTAACACGAAAGAAAAGAAGTGTTACAAAGATACAACGTCTTCAAGATCACACAACATGAACTCAACTTTACACACTTGTATTTTTTTCTTTTTTTTTCTTCTTTTTTTTGTTATAACAAATTCTTGAATAACAAGCTTAGTCACAAACCAGCTCCAGTTAGACTCTCGTTTAATTTTTGTAATTGATTGTTAAATTTTTAATTAAGAGAAAGTGTTTTAATGTGGTTAAACATGTGATTGTTTAATATATTTGTATCAAAATTAATATAGTTAAAGTATTACAAAATGTGAAAAAGTAAAAGTTGTATCATTTTGGTATTGTAATTGTTGTATTATTGTGTTAAATTCTATTTTTTTTTCTGTTTATCATAACCAACAGTTTAATCTATTAAAATATATATATTTGTCATTTTGAACTAATTTCAACGACTATTTTCAAACATGAACGCGAAATAAATGGTTTTAATTAAAAAAAATGTAAACAAATAATCCACCAAATAAAAAACCAAACCGACAAAGACATACATCATTTGTACTCACCCAAAGAAAACAATCAAAATAAGGTCTTCAAAATACACTCATTGTTTTTTTTTTTTTTTTTTCTATTTGTGTTGATAGAAAACAAGTCTCAGATTTGAGATGCTAAATCTATCAGACCGCCACCAAAGCAATATCTTGGTCTAGATAAGGCTATTGCTTTAGGTTAACTGCTACCACCGTTTCTTCTCTTCTTCTCTCCATTTGCAGCACCAGTTGTTGCTTTATCCGAATCCGACAATTTCTTCGTTTTCCCAAGAGAAGTAGAAGATGAAAGCCTCTTCTTTGGTAATACCATCTGCGGAGGTTTCTTCTTATCAGACACAACCTCCTTCTTTGGCAAACCTGTTGTTCCGACATTAACCTTTGATTTCACAGCTTGCGTGTTAGCCAAGTTTTCTGTTGTTCCCACGCTAGACTTGGATTTCAAAGCTTTCGTGTTATCCAAGTTTCTTTTTGTTCCCACACTAGCCTTGGGTTTCACAGGTTGCGCATTAGTCACGTTGCTTGTTGTTTCCACACTAACCTTGGCTTTCACAGTTTGTGTATTATCCAAGGAATTTCTGCGTGAGGACGAGCTACCAACGCTTTCATCATCTTTAGCGTTTGCAGATGATCCACCACCGATACTGTGCCTGCGATTAGCAACCTCGATCTTTTTACTCTTGGTATCATTGTTTACAGGCCATTGGATAGAACTTTGGCTAGCTGACTTTAGTGTTTTAGATCTGGCAGGAGAAGTCTTGATGGAGTTTTCGCGTTTAAGAGAGTTTTTAAGGGAAATTTGATCGTCGATGGATTCAGCATCCCACGGGCGAGAAGCCATCCAACGCTCAAGCCAACTCCAACCCCAGTCTGTTGTGTTTGTGTCCATCAAAGTCTGGTGTGGAAGTTTTGAAGAATTTCTCCACGTTTGCTGTTTTCATTTTCCAACAACAATATATATGAATATGAACAAGTTCACAATGAAGTTGTTGTTGTTAATAATTTACCTGATGACTGTAAGCATAAGCCAATGCCCTCTCTCGTCTTACAGAAGCTTCTTTTCGATTCACAGACCTTGCCACGATCTGTTCCTTTGATTTATTGCTGGAATCAAAATTTCCCGCGGTAACCTGCAACAAAATATGTTCCATTTAAGAATTTTGGTTCTCACAGTGTGGTAAAATGTAAGGGGATTTTATCTTTTTAAATGAACGGTTGCGTATATTGTAAACAAGGTTTTTTTGGTTGAAAATTTTTTACATTTATTAAAAAAAAATGTAACGAGATTTACCAAATTCTGATTGTTTTCTTTCTGGTGACCCTTCTGTTGGATCAGCCTGTGACGAGTTTTGTTCTCTGCAGATAACCGATTCCTCCTTTCTTGAATCTGTGTTTGTAAACGTGTAAGAGTTTGCATTGAGCTAAGCATCGCGTTCATTTGTCTTTTGACGTATTTTCCTTGAAGCAAACTTTTGAGTCTGGCCATTCCTCGCAACGCACGAAGAGTGCGTCTCGCCTATGAAACCCGAAAGAATTAGACTAAGTCCCTCATAATAAGAGGAATTAATGATTTGTTTGTATACCTTGTAACATCTATACGCATTTTGGATCTTGATTGCGGCAGTTTCCTCCTTTGATTCCTCAGTCTGATGTGTGGAAGGGGTCGTGAGACGCACTACCTCCGCGGCAGCATGTGCAGCTACCACAGCTGCTTCGGCTGCAACAGCCGATGCAAGAGCTAAAGCTTGCCTATTCTTTGCTTCTTTAGAGTCAACATAGAGTCTTGTATTGCTGGTATATGCCGGAGGAGGAGGAGGTGGAGACGGTGGTGGTAACAACGGCTGAGGAGCAAAATCCGGCAACGGAGGAGGCGGTGGAGATGGCCGATGAACAGAAGACGATGAAGGGTCAACCGTTGGAGTCTCTTCCACAGGGAAATCAAAAGAGTCTCTACTCTTTTGTTTCCCAAACGACCATTTCCTCTTGGGTTTCTCGGGTTTCTTGATAAACAAGGCAAAAACAAAACCAAAAGAATCAAAGAATTAGCAATCTTGATTTCATCATAACCAAATAATTCATGAAAAGATTCAAAACACCAACTTGATTCTTTTTGTCTTTCCCTGGAGACAAACAAGCCGCGGAGACACATGTTAACCAATTCTTTCCCATCTTCTTCTGAAATTTTCAGACAAATCTTTCATTGAAAAACATTTTCTTACAAAATGAAAAACTTTCTTACAAAAATGAAAATCAATAAGAAGAAGAGATGAGATTATGTAAAAAGAGAGACCTGGTCGTGATGGGCCCCACCGTTTCGTGGGAACCCAATTGACTTTTGTAACGATTGTGTTTTGTAAGAACGATTCAACAGATTTAACGACAGATACGTTATAAGTTATAACTTGTTTTTAGTTTTTTTTTTTTTTCAGTTCTATTAGTTGTTCTTTCTATATATGTTATTTTTATCAACATTTTATTTATTTATTTCTGGTGTTGTAGTTTTTAGAATTACAGCTTTTATTTTTTAACAATTATCTGTAAGATAAATTTAGAAAAGTGGGTTTTGAGTTTGGATGATGCTAATGCTCTTTTATCCATTCCACTCTGGATTTAATTCTCCTTTCATTTGTTTGGTCGAGAGCTTTCTTCATCAACAAGAAATGGTAATGAAATCAAATCCAATACCAACAGTAAAGAACAGAGGCTACTTGAGAGATTGACTGTCAAGCTACAAATATAATTACATTAGAAACCCATAAATTAAAAGGTAAAGAGTTTAATGAGATCCGGATTTCACGACTATAAAGAGAAGGTTTATTGGAAAATTAGACGAAAAAACGGGTTCAACAGGAAAAAAAAAAATTTCAAGTCATCATATTTTGCAACTTTACATTCTACCTGCACACAATGCATGTCAATTCTGTGAAGTAAAAATAAACATGTAGTCACTGTTTACAATGATAAATAATATATCAAATCAAATCCCTCACGACAAAGAGTCTAAATATATTCTTATAATTTAAAAATATAATGTATATAATCGGAAACACTCATTATATTGTGGATTTTTTTTGACTTTGTGGGATATACCTCTGTTTAAACATTTTCTTTCCAAAAAGGCAAAGAAAAAAAAAACAAATAGTAAAGAGGATGATAAAACTCTCAGTTCCCAAATGAATCCAAGATTATAACGTGTAACAATTATCCATCATTTTTAACCAAAAAAAAAGGATTATAATGTATATAACAAGTCTGTGTAGCTTCTTTTTAATTCTATTTAATCATTTGGAAGTCGGCAGAGAGAGTACGTGCGTACCTCTTAGTACTTGTTGTCGCTCTCCTCTTCACACTAAGTTAGAGGTGCTTATATGGCCATGAACTCACTCATACCACGTCATACGACCAAAGTGCAATTGAAGACAGATTGTTTAAAGCTAATTAAAATGCTTTAACTCCAGTGAGTTAGATGAATTTTCTAGGTTTTGTATCCAAATTTCTAAAAGAAAAATTATTCTACATTATTATAATTTTTGTAATGACTACCTTACTAAAGACACAAGAGTACAAAGGTCGCCTTGTAGATTCTTGTTTTCGGCACTTCAGAATTTTCCAAGGGAAAAAGTGACTTTTGTATTCTTGTGGCTTTCATCAATCCCGTGTAAACCAGCCTCTCAATCTGATCAATATGGAGATTTTGATTTGATGTAAAAAAAAAAGGAAAATAAATTCAAGTGTGGTTTGGTTCATTAAAGCCTTAAACGGGAATTGGTTCAAAGAGATTGGTGAGATTGAGGAGCTGGATTATCATGGATGTGAAAGCCAAGACTTATTATTTCTCCACAACTGGTATCACATTCTTATTGTTTAGGTGGTGCATGCTTCATTCTCTAACAATGATGGTTTCTCCAATTTGGATTGTACTTGTTGTACCACCCTGCGTACTCATGTTCATCTGCTGCTTGAGTTAGCTTCATTCTCCGGAACATTTTATTACTGATGGATCGTACCTTCTACTAAAATTCGTAATGTTCGAGATGGATTTTTGTACTATATAATTTAATTTTGTGATGTTTTTTCTAATGAGGACTCGTTTCTTCTTGTTGCCGGATGGCTTGACAGGGCCGGCGCAGATGCCAAGAAACTGAAACCAGCGATTGGGACCTCAAAATTTTAGGGCTTTTTAAACTAAAAATTTGTTAAGTTTTGAATATGTTGCAAAAACTATAAATTTATTCTGTAGGGTCTTTTAAAAAAAATGATATGGGCTTTTAAAGACAAACTAATTATCTTCAACACTAAATTTTTGATTTAGTAAAAAAAACTCTAAAGCGCTGATTGAATATAAAAAAAAAACTTATGCATGTATGTGAGTCAATTTGCTTATTTTACAAGTGAAAAATCCTAGTTTTTGAGGTTAATTGTTATTTTTGCTTTTGAATTTATTGTTTTTTCCTTGCAAATTTGTTTTAAAAAAGAAAGCTGCAAATCCGATAATGATTCGTTAATGGTTTTTGTAGTATATGAAAAAAACATACTTTTTGAAGTTTTGCGTAGGGCACTCGCAGATGTCGGACCGGCACTGTGGCTTGAAGCAATAACTGAAAGCATAATTACAAAAGGATCGGAACAACTATTTCTGAAAAACCTATATATATAGATTGTTACCATGGATCATCCTAGTAGAAAACAATATTACAGAAAGAAACTATTTACAAAAGCCTCTAGATATAGATAAAAATTAAGAGTAATGAATCAGAGGCAGAAACAAAATGGAAAAACATTTACTCTTTGTCCATGTAGATTTTGTCAGCTCGGCTCGCCATATAACAATAAAGTCAAGAAGCATTGTCCTAATATCTATACTAGCTTTTGGGGAAGCACCAAAACTCTCTTCCTCTTTAAAAAATGAGTAAACCCCAAAAATTCATCTCGAAACAGCCGGCAACCTCTTCAACATCCTGTATTCGAGCAACATTGCGGGGTGCCGTGCGATCTCACTGTGTTTAGGGGCCTCAAGGGTTTAAGAATTTGACATTCAAAACCCAAAAATTAAATGCCAAACCCATGTCTGATATTCTGATGTACAATAAAGTTCTTCTTCTTTGAACTTGTGTAGGTGTTGCATGTTACTTTTGATTCTCATTTATCTTCAATGAATATTCTGTTTATAAAGTCTCTAAATCTTCGGGAATAAAGCTTAGGATCAACAGCTGAAATGGACGCGGGATCTGCGTGTAGTGACTTGTAGGCGTGCTCTAGTTTTTTGGTGATATCATAGTCTTGAAGAATGTCAATAACACCAAAATAAAGGATCACCTCAACGACCTCTTTCCTCGTACTCTTAGGATTTGAGTTGTCAATGTCGTCTTCTTCCCACGACTCTTCCTCAAATCTGCTCACTTGCTCTGCTTTTGCTGGTGTGCTTTCCCCTAGTCTCAATAATGGCCCGTTACTACATTTTCAAAGAGATAAACATTATATTCTCAAAATGAAAGACGCATATATTTACTTTGGTTTTTATTTGTTAAGCTTATGTGAGTGTAAGTGTATGTATGAAAGTGATTGTAAAAGGTTCATTTGAAGTTAGTGATAAATGTTCAATCAACTTAACACTTAACCATATATATATATATATATATATATATATATTGTAAAAGGTTTTAATCGGTTTTGTTGATCCAAAATGACCACTCAATGAATGAAAGAATCCAAGACCTAGTTTGGATAATTTGGTTGTATCTCTATCTGAGTTTAATATTTGGTTAAGTATTCAAAATAGAAGAAATTCTAAGTGAAGGTACCAAGTTTGGGTGACAGAGTCCATATTTGGAAGCGAATTATACCCTCTCATCAATTTGTCCTCCTGATCTCGTCGACCTGAATTAAGAAAGTAGCTAATTTCTCACACAAAGGAAGACAAATACCAAAAAATAAAGATGAAAGTAATATAAGAACGATTGTTACCGATGCCCAAGGAAATGTCGTCACGCAAGCCAGATTCACGGAAATGGAGACCAATCAAGAGACTGTAGTCCATAATCCTCTCAGCTTCAAGAAACTCACAATCGATGTCGATTTGGTTGATGAAGGCTTGAAACCATGAAGTCTCAAGTCGAAACACATACTTGAGATCCAAGTCTTTGAGTGTTGTGGTCTCGTCGATTTCACCTTCACCCTTGTCAATGGTACGGCCATGTGATGAACCTTTCAAGTCAAACCGTTTGTGTATACGATACTCCGAACAAAACAGATTGCCCATCACTATGAACCGAGTCTGCTTTTTTTTTGTCACAAAAGTTACAAGAAAAAAGTTTTTATTTGATTTATGAAGATATATAAATTCCTAATTAATGGAAGACAATTTCTCATACCTTTTGGCCTCCTACCGGTTTGACGCAATGCACGCCGAAGAACTTGGTAACCAAAGAGTTCTTGTATTTGGAAACATGCTCATAATAATTTGGGAGCATCTTAAGCAACACCTAAGCATGGTTTTAAAAACATCTAAAATCTATTGTTATCGAAAGCAATGTGAACGCAAAAGAATATATAAGTTACCTTAATTTCGGACTTTTTCATGGTTTTGATCATGAAGCGTTCATCTTGAGTCAAGTAAAAGGAGCTTCCACTCTTTCCTGGCGACGAAAATTCCCGAAGAGATTCATTTCCGCAAATAGCGAGCATGTAGTCCGCTTGGTCTATCGCGAATAAGTCTCTTAAATGCCTGTTTCACCACACAAAAATGTGCAATCAGGAATTATTAACAAATAGTTTGTAACTCCAAACTTTTAGAGTATTTACTTACCTAAACACAATAGGGCAATAGTCCTTCCATTTGAACTCGATAGATAGATGGGGAGGGGTAGACTTAGAGCCTTCTGGGGGAAACCTTGTCCATTGCTTATCCTTGGGATCAAAATCACAATGTCTGAGTTCCCTCAAAATGGAAGCATGTTTCCCAACAGAGTACCTAATCCCAAGCTGTAGATTTAACATCAAATCATAGTTCTTATGTCCAGCCGTAACCGTATGCCCTGGTTTCTTAACATCTCCTTCATCCAACCACTTCGGACTTTGTTGCAAACTCATGGCACCACCACTCTCCAAAAGCAAAGGGCTTCTTGCCCACTCTTGCTCTCCACATCCACTCGTATCTGACTCGCTCGTGTACGGGCTCGCCTCTACGTGATCACACACGCCACTATCCTCCAATTCCGATATACAAATTCTCGGGAAATTGGTATTCGTTGACAAAGTTTCAACCGAAGAGAGCTTATGGTGCTGCACAATCTCATCATCTTTCTTCTTGCACTTCCTCCCCCACCCATTATAACTAGTCTTCTCCTCACCCCAACTCAACACCCCTTTCCCAACCGGGGCTCCATTTTCCCATAGCCCATCATAACGGTTTCGGTTAGCCCACGTCATTGCCCCTTTCCCTGAGATAACACCGTTCTTCCACTCTCCCACATACTCATTCCCATCGCTCCACACATAACGTCCATTACCATCCTGCAGATTGGCCTTCCAGTTTCCTTGGTAAACGTCACCGTTTGCATACCGCTTCTCTCCGTAGCCATGCTTTCTTCCCCACAGCCAATGCCCTCTATAAGTATCCCCGTCGATTCCAATGAACGTCCCTTCGCCGTCCATTCGACCGTCCTTGAACTGACCCTCATAGGTCGCTCCGGACGGCCAAGAAAAACGTCCTTTACCGCTCGCTTTGCCACGTGTCCACTCCCCTTCGTACATACAACCATCCGACCACAAATACTTCCCTGTCCCATGCGGAACACCCGCGGATAAGCCTCCGTTATAAAGGTCGCCGTTCTTTAGCACCTTTTCTACTATTCTAATCTCGGCAGCCGCATCACTCACCTCGCAACTTGTCATGGGAACCACGCGCCGGGAGCTTTGTTTGTATTTGACCCCTGACGATGGCTCTTTGTTCAGATTCTCTTCCGTGAAGAGGAACACTGTCTCTTGCATTATTTTATGTCTTACTCTGACATTTCTCGTTGACTTTTTTCCGGCTTGTTTTTGTCTCTTCGAATAACAGTTAGTGTTCAAACATGTCTTCTGTTCTGTAATTATTTAAAAACAAAGAAAGACAACTGTGATTAATAAAGACCCTAAAAATCACTTTGATGCTAAAATCTGAATGAATTTAGTACAATCAAGTCTTGTAAAAAAATACACTAAAAATCTCTAAGAATTTAATGTCATCATTGTAACTTAATGTCTTCCTTTAAATTTTTGTATCTGAAATGAAGAAAAAAAAAGAAAAAAAAACTTACCCTTGAATCATTTATAGATTGGATTCGTTGACTGACAAAAGAAATGATCAAATGGACTATTCAAGAACCCATATCAAGAACAAGAAGTAATGTATGAGCATCAGTCCTAAAATTAGGATCAACACATCAAAATTCTCAGAAGACAAAAAAAAAGTATTTTTACCTGAACAATAAAAGTGAAATTGATGTGTGGTCAACCGCCATGACAAAGAAGTCTAGAAAATAAGATAGTGTGATGATAGAAGTGAAGACCCAAATTCATAAACTTGATGAAATCTTGAAAATAGAGTATGATCGAGGGAAAGATTTATCAGAATGGTGAAACTCTCTCTCGAATTAGATAAAATCAACGGTTCAACGATGAAAATGTATCCGTTAGATGCGTATCGCTATTTGTTTTGATTATTTATGTAGCCGGCAACAAGACTACGTGCTGGCCTTGATCATCATTAATCTTTTTCTTAATTTAATAAACCATTAATAATGTATCTGTTTAGCTAGAAGATCTAGTACATGGTTCGATATCGGTATAAGAATATGCGATGCTTATAGGTGGAGCTGATAGACAAGTATCTAAAGATATAAACAATGTTTATGAACGTGCTTTAAGCCTACAATCATGTGCCACAAGTCAGATATGGATACTATTCTCCTCCTCTCTGCTGGGTCACAACAACTCATACAAGTCAGAAAGTCAAAAACCACAATTACTACTATTCCAAAGTATATGGCTTTTTGATAAAATACCAAATTAGAAAGATCAGACTTTTTAGATTTTATATGTCGAACCAACGTGATCTTAGCATGTGATTGAGTACACATGGGTTTTTGACTCTTTAACACAATACAACACTATACTGTCTTTAACATCAAGTAGACTCAAGGTGATGTAGTGACAAGAAGATTGGCTTAATGGTGCCTACGACGGTCTTTTGATGAGTGGGAGGATTCTCGATAGTCACGGTCCCGAGAAGAGTGATGTCTTGATCTATCTGAATCCTTCAATCTATCTCTTGACCGGTGATGACTCCGATCTTTGAGGTTGTCTCTCTCCCTATCAATCTCCTTGTCAGAATCTCTGCCTCTGTGAGACCTAGCCCTGTCTCTCTCTCTACCTCGTTCCTTCTCTCTACCACTCTCTCTTTCTCTCTCTCCAACTTTACTTTTTCCGTTCCTCGAGTCTCCTACTATTGGCTGGCTGTTTGACTCAGTATCACTCTTCTTTGAATCTGTACCCTTTTCATGAGGCGAAATAACCATTCCATCCTTCGAGTCGTTATTAGCTGATCCAGGAGCACACTTTGTATCAACAGCCTCCCCTACTCCCGGCAACACATCCTGTAACACAGTGATAGAAGCACTTCAAACCTGGAGACTAAAAATGCAGTGATATGGAAATCTCATGCGATAAAAAAAAATCAGAAAACCTAGATAGCGATCTATCTCACCTTTGTAGCTGATTGAGCTTGAGAATTCCCAGATCTGCTGGAAAAGGTAAATGGCTTCCCATCCTTGCAAACAGAGATATACTGAGCCTTTGGAAGACTGTATAAGTGAGCAAGAACTCTACACACTTCGTCAATACTAGATTTATCTGCATCAAATGCTTTCCACCAGGGTGGATTCTCTGGAAGAGGTACTTGAAACCTACGGGCAGCAGCATACACGACCCCACAAGCCACAACCTCACTTCTGAACCTTACACAGAGGGTTGTACGCAGACTGCATGTATAGACATATCATGAGATTAAGATAAAATCATAAAGGAATGATCAGATATTGAGAAAGTGTGACAAACATACTCAAATCAAAAGAGAACAGTGCATATGTCAAGATGCAGCTTATATGCCGAACTTCAGGAGAAATGTCATTTCTAAAACCTATCAACACTATGATGTGTAGCTAAACAATCAAGTAATCATATGAAATAATATCCATAGTAAGATTTAAGAGTCGAGGTTACCTATCATTAGCCAAATTCCAAGCTTCTTGCCTCAATTCTGGAGGTGTTTCAAGTGTGGCAAGGTAGTTTGATATGAACTTGTGAGGATGTTCAACATGACAAACAAAACCCATTTCTTTCAGTATATGTCTCTCAGTTCTGCTTAATTCAACTTTCAACTCAGAGAACTTCTGCAGTAATTTAACAAGTAGGAAAAAGGATGAGATCCCATAATAGTACTTCCAAAGAAAGCCATGCCATGAGTAGAAACAAGATATACGAAAAACATTCAAGACAAATGTAATTGGTCACATGTAAAGGTGCAGAACGCAAACTAACCTTGGCATACATATCGAGATGTTCTAATGGTAAGTTCTCCCTGCGACACTCCATCCTGTGGAATACGATGATGACCTGTCTAGCTTTTTTAGGGTTTTCTTCCAGTTTTGATGCAAGCCAGACACAGCTCGCAGCAACTATCTATAAAATTAAACTACAAATCAAATCATTATGGATACAGGCAGGAGTATATAGACTAGTAAAGAATTATCATACTTAATACTTCCATAAACACAAAAACAAAAAAAAAAAACTAGAAGAAAAAAACGAAATAATTTACCTTTACATCAAATTTAGCTAGAGACTTTTTACAATAGAATCGGTGAAACAGAACCTGCCCAGTAGCCATAACCGCCTGTGGTCTGAAGACAACAATTTAGGTTAAGAAAATCACAGCTATGCGACATTTGAGTTATCCAAAATAATTAGACCAATGAAAGGATACAGTTTGAGCAATATTCCACCCTCTTGGATAAGATCACATCCATAGATTCTAAGAGAGATTTCAGTCGTTTCATCTATCCCATCTTTCCTGGAAGGTGAAGCCTTCAGCTGCTCGTCGGTTAAGTAGAAATTGTCGATAGCAGTGTAAATCATCAAACAACGGTCACTGTTTAACATCAAGAGAAGAAAACTTAGATTATGACACAAACTAAAAAGCTTTACTTCAGGAAACCGCGAGACGGGTTGAAACAAACAAATCTTTAAGTATCAGTGTACGCAAACACGAAATCGAAATACTCAAATCATAAATCTTAACTATAAAATCAATTTACTCTCTTATCACATTTTTTTTTTGTCTCTTATTCACTAGATTTAAGAACAGTTCCAGGTTCTAAATTACCCTAGCTTGAGAATTAGGATTCTGCTAAATTCCGGATAACAAATTGATTGCTACAACAGAGAGACCAGACTATATTGTAGCTTTTTGCTACATTAGTAATGAGATTATGCCCTAGGTTCAGCTAAGTTAATCTGAGATCAAGCAATTCGAAGCAATTAAACCTAACTGAGATTACACGCAGGAAGTAATCGCGATTAGAAACCAATACAAGTTGGATTAAAACGGAAAATGGTTCAGGATGTACCGGAAAACGGAGATACACGGTGGCGAAACAGAATCACGGCGAGGAGAGCGGAGAGACGAGAAGAGGCGACGAAATCGGTAAATCGAGTTTTGGAGAGGTGAAGGAAGACGGAAGAAAATAAATGTAGAAGGAGTAATTAGCAAAAAGGCCACAAAAAGAAGAAAAACAAACAATTGGGCCTACATTAACTAGGCCCCTTTATTGGGCTTACGAAGGAAGAAATGTCTCTGGAATAGATATGTCTTTTTTTTTTTTTTTCGTCGTCGTCTAGATTTATTATTAATTGCAAATTATGAGAACTGTTACATAGACGATTCTACAACTGACAATTCCTTCCGACCCTTATTAGATCTACGACAGACTACACTTCCTTCTTCATAATTTTGATGAATACCTTCACGACCTGGCGACACTTCCTTCTCTGCGTAAAATCCTGGTGAACGGCTATAATTGTACATCGCTGGAGATCTTCTGCACACTTGTCTCTATTAATCTGCAAATTTGTTAATAAATCGCAATATCTAGGACTCGAACCTCAAACCTCTTGATGTAGAAGCATTAATCAACCCTTGGTCAACCAATGGACCGCGGGGCTTCCACTAGATATGTCTTCTTCAAAAAAAAAAAAAAATTAATAATTATATTAATTGGTTGAAAAGGAGCCATAATAAAAAAAAAATGGGACTAAACATCATACAACTAAACATCACAATACTTAAAAAACCCGAAAAAACCGCCATCTATTTTTTTTTGGCCGTTTAATACTTATGTTTTTAAATTTGGAATAAAAATACCTCATTTAAATTCGATTGCCTTTTAAAACTATCGTTTTTTAAAACTTGGTAATTTCGAACCCGAGACTTAACAGTCGTTACTGGACGTAACATAATTATTTAACAGCGTTAAATTTTAACCGGGAAAAAGCTGAAAAAACCGCCATCTATTTTTTTTGGCCGTTTAATACCTGTGTTTTAAATTTGGAATAAAAATACCTCATTTAATTTCGATTGCCTTTTAAAACTTGATAATTTCGAACCCGAAACTTAACAGTCATCACTGGGCGTAACGGAATTACTTAACAGTGTTAAATTTTAACACCACGTGTTTATATAAACATATACTATATGTTTGCAAAACTTTATGTGATAGTTAATGTGGCTTGGTGGTTGCATGTCAGTTTTGTAAACATCAGGAGTTGGGTTCAACTCTTCAAGACTTCAACCTCATTTTTTTTTTATTGATTTCTTTTTGTGTTCTTCGTCTTCTTCGCTGGCGGTGACGACGACTTCTTCCTCTCAGATCTCCGATGATGCAAACTGGTCTCTCTCTCTTTCTGTTTTTCACTCGAATCTCTTTTTGATAATGGGTTTTGGCCGTGATTCATCCCATTTATGTATAGATCTGATCTGATTGATGTCGATCTAGTTGTTGTTCTTCTTCAATGGTAGATCTAATTGCAGAATCATTAGCTCAGATCTAGATCGATTTGTTGAAATCGCTCTATGATTCATCTTTTGTTTGCATTTCGAGTCTTAACTTTGTACTGATGGGAAGTTATTCGAAGTGGAAAACAAAGGATAAAAAAAGGTTTGAGATTCGAACCCGGATCTGGTGGTTTACAAAAGGACACACGCTATCACCAAGACACATTGACATTCTCATAATGTGTTGTGAGCAGTTTGTATATATTTATATAAACACGTGGGGTTAAAATTTAACTCTGTTAAATAATTTCGTTACGCCTAGTAACGACTGTTAAGTCTCGGGTTCGAAATTACTAAGTTTTAAAAAACGATAGTTTTAAAAGGCAATCGAAATTAAATGAGGTATTTTTATTCCAAATTTAAAAACACAAGTATTAAACGGCCAAGAAAAATAGATGGCGATTTTTTTGGGTTTTTTCCTGGTTAAAATTTAACGCTGTTAAATAATTCCGTTACGTCCAGTAATGACTGTTAAGTCTCGGGTTCGAAATTACCAAGTTTTAAAAAACGATAGTTTTAAAACGCAAGCGAAATTAAATAAGGTATTTTTATTCCAAATTTAAAAACACATGTATTAAACGGCCAAAAAAAAAATAGATGGTGGTTTTTCGGGTTTTTTCCCTACAACTAAAACAACACTTAGTATTATTATATTAGTTGGTCTCATATCTATCTCTTACACAATACTTAAAAAACACTCATCATTCTCACACTATTATCTCTCTCTTTTCTGTAACAACATCAAATTGGATAGATCCACCATCATTTTTTTTAGTTATTAAAAGGTTCTGGACCTAGACTCCTACATCCCCTCACGCCATGGATCAGAGCATTTTATATGATCCACCATCATTTTATCCTCCTAAAACTACGAATTAATTGAATAGACTAAATTACTTGTTTACGAAAAGTAATTGCGGACAAATTGTTAAAGAAAAGTAGTTGTAAACAAGTTGTCTACAAGTAATAATTGTGGATATATATAGACTATATATTTGTTTTGGACCTCTTCTTTAATTTGGTTTTTTTTTATGTCTATTAAATTTGTTAATACATGCATATATAAAACTAAATGATATGAGTTAGGAGATCTCTTATCTCTTAGGTTCACAAAAATTGACAAAATATTTTGTAAAAGTCATGGCGTGGCAAGAAACATAGTGGCATGGACTAAAAATAATGTCGTGGACAATCATATATATATAAAGTAAGGTTTCATTCTCTCCTTATTGGTCCATTTGGCAATATAAGTTTGAAAAAAATTATTTTCAATTAAACCACAAATAAAACACATTTAATTATATACATTTAACTCACACTTTAATATAAAACTGAAAACATATAAATTATGCATAAATTATATTTTTTACTCAATTTTGTTCAACACACAATCAATTAAAATTCTTTTTTTTTTTTTTTTTTTTTTTTGTCAACAGCTTAAATAAAATGGATGCTCAAAAGAGCCATTCCTGGGGAATGTTGTTTACATAAGTGATATGATGCGGTTCGGTACGAATTTTTCGTGCCAAATTATCCGCTTTTACATTTGCGCTATGCGGAATTAAAGATAAAGAAAAATTAGAGAATTCTTCCTTGTCACTCTTCAAATCTTCCAAATACACTGAGAAGGCCGGCCATTCGGTTGGGGAAGACACCATCTTCACCAAATCTGAACAGTCTGTAAAGAAAGCTACATCTTGGTTGTCAGCACCAATCATACACTTCATCGCCCAGAGTAGAGCTTCGACTTCTGTATGTAGGGGGGATAGACTTCGCCGGATGTTTGCAGCTCCCATGGTTGGCATCTCTCCATTTGCCGATGTACAGTACCACCCTGTTCCTGAAAAAATATCTGTCCTTTTCCATGATCCATCCACGAAACACCGATGTCCGGAGTAACTCGAATCCAATGAAATCTCTCTCACGCGATTTCGAGTTACAGTATCTAAAGAACCTTGGTTGTCAATATGTAGCTCAGATTGAGCAACCTGCCAAGCTTGTGCCTCTTTCTCCGCTAAATGTAGAACCTCTAATGGGTCTTTATCCACATTATCAAAAATCTTCTCGTTTCTCGCTTTCCAAATATACTAAATTATCCATGGAAATGAAGATGAATCAATCTCTGATGGAATTCTCCAGAAAAGATGATCCAAGTTCGCGTAAATAGAAGCCGAGGGAAAAATCCCTGTAACCGAAGGGATGGGAGAAAGAGCCCAGATTTGTCTTGCAGGATGACATTCAAAAAGTCTGTGATTAATTGTTTCCTCCGCAGCGCCACATCTAACACATCCGGTGTCACAATTTATACCTCTCTTTCTCAGATTCTTTATAACAGGTACGCAACCTGATAATATTTGCCACAAAAAATGTCGTAGCTTTGGTGGACACTTCACCTTCCATGCATAAGCTTTCAGAGATTTGATATCCGGGCTAACAAATTTAAGGTTAGCATCAGAAGTCTCTATCCGTGCGGTATGGTAACCCGATTTAACCGTATAATTGCCTGACTTTGTGAAATGCCAACCAAGGGTATCCGCCTTAGTTGAGACACCCAAAGGCAAAGCACTAATCAGGGCGACATCCTCTGGATCAAAAAGCTCCGCCAAGAGATTCATATTCCAAAAGTTTGACCGGCTGTCGATAAGTTGATTAACTTTTAAAGATGGATCAGTAATTGAACCATTACTTTTTGCTGGTCTCGGGAATTGAGCTGGTATCCATGAGTCCTCCCATACTGAGATGGACGCCCCAGAACCAACTCTTTTAATAAGTCCTTTAAGAACCAGAGATCTAGCTGACATTATACTTCTCCAACCATAAGAAGGAGAGTACGATTTTATATTATCCAATGGATTGGATTTCCGGAAATACCGTCCTTTACCTTGCAAATAGTGACTCAGGAACCATAATCAAACGCCATAATTGTTTAGCCAGTAACGCTGAATTAAAATCATCCACGTTCCGAAATCCCACCCCACCTTCCGATTTACTACTACAAAGTTTATCCCAAGCCATCCAATGCATTCCCCTCGATTCACCGTTTGAGCTCCACCAAAATTTTGCGACCGCACTCGTAAGTTTAGAAGTTATTGATTTTGGTAGTCTGAAGCATGACATAACATATGTTGGTAATGCCGCAGCTACCGATTTAATCATAACTTCTTTTCCGCCTTTCGATAAAAACTTAGCCGACCAACCATTTATCCTAACCTGAAGTCTATCTCGAACAAAGGAGAAAATCTTTGTCTTAGATCCACCAAGGCTTTCCGGTAGACCAAGATAAGATCCCATGCCACCAAGATTATGGATACCCAGAACCGCTTTTATTTCTTCCTTAATAGACTCATCAACTTTGTAGCCAAACTGAAGAGATGATTTTGAAAAATTAATTTGTTGCCCTGAAACCGCTTCATATTGTTTTAGAATTCCCAAAATTACCCCGCATTGTTCTTTATTGGCTTTGCAAAAGAACAAACTATCATCAGCAAATAAGAGATGAGATACCGACGGGCTAGCTGTGGATACCTTGATACATGTAATCAAGTTTTCACGTTCCGCTTTCTTAATATTCGCAATGAGTACCTCCGTACAGAGGATGAATAAGTAAGGAGATAAAGGATCTCCTTGTCTAAG